CTATCGTGGATTATCAAATTAAACAACAAATTTCCCTAAGAAGATTAAAAGGCTACTATATTATTTTATTTTAATGATTTAACAGTTAATAATAAAAACGTTTTTTTTATCTAAAAATAACAAGGGTAATCTAATCCCAGTTTATAATTTAACCCTAATAATATATATTTATATTTTAAATTACATTATATTTATTAATTTAAATCTCACCTAAAATTAATAATTTAAAAAATAATTTCTTTTTAAAGTAATATAAATAGAATTCTTTTAATTATTAACTTACAATAAAAATATTCCCATAATTAATTTTCATTAATTAAGTTAGGACTTTTTATTAAATATATTTCATAAATTTAATATTAATAAATTATATATAAAGTGTTGTAGTTACCAGATAATTTGCCATATCGACGGACGGTATAGGAAAAGCGAATTCTTCCATCGTGTCGTACAACTCTTTCACGTAATCCAGCTGAGACTCCATCTCGTCAACATTTTCTTGGGCCTGATCTACAAACTTTATGTACGCAACATATTCGTCAGTTGTCACAGGGACTGTTTCCAAATAATTGATAGCGTCGATCGCTTGCGTTAATAAAGCGTCAACTCGACTTTTTCCCAGTCTAAAATAAAATGGGATGTATGTGTATCGTAAGTTGTATGATGACGTGAAAAAATACTTCTTTCTTTTCTTTTTTTTTTTACATTTACCCAGGCATAACAGCTTCAATAACTCCTAATTTCCCTCTAGGTGCAGTTTCAGCTGCGCTCTTGAATCGTTCCAGTTGAATGAAGAAGAGGCCGAATGGCTGAAAGTCGATCACTTTGTGAATCAGATCCACTTCTTTCTTGTAACGAATGCTCCATCCCCGGAATAATTTAACGTCTCGATTGTCGCGGATGATGTCTTCGTCGAACATCGTGTCCTCCTGATAAAACTGTCTGATCACGTTGAATCGTTGGCAGTAACGTTTTATAGCGTCCAAGTTCCTCTCGAGAAGTTCCTTCAGTTCTGCCTTGGAAGCTAGCGTGATTGGGTCTTGCTTCAAAATTTCCTGGACCTCTGGTGGACAGCCGCAGATACGCTCTTCCACTTTGTGATTGATCATAGGCCTCGAATAAATATACATGTATGTAAAATCTCGCCGTTTCAAGGGGAATTGATTTCACAAGTCGCTTTTGTCGCAGAAACTGTTTCACCCTCGTACCTCGTGAAAGGATGGAAAAAGGGATCCGAGAGCAGAGGTTTAATAGCGTACAAGTTCTCCTCCCACATAGTTTCTATAGTTTTTATCACGAAAAGGAAAATACTTTCAGATGGATCCATTACAATTTCTGAAGACGGTAAAATAAGCAAATCCACAACCCAATATGGTAACTAAAAAAAAAAAAAAAAAAAAAAAGATCTTTTTAAGTTATATAAGCGATCTGTAAAAATAAACGTTACATTTTATACCTGAATACGATGCGACGATGGACGATTTTCTTTTAGGGGGAGATCAATTACGTCGTTATCTATTGATTCGTCATCCGGCAGAAATTCCGTGTAAATCTTCAAGAGTTGTATGACCTTTCGATAAGTGTTCAACAAAAGGACATGCATCATGTTCGTTTGCATGTAATCGATCAGATGAACAAAGCTACGAATAATGAAATATTTCTTCATTCGCCAAAGAAATTCATCTGCCGTAACGAGGATAAAATATTCATGGAATGACTTACCAAGACAGTCTGTAACATTTCTCCCTCTTTCGTGCCTGTTCGATGTAACTCATTTTGAGAATACCATCTTTGGGCATTTTAAATTTAACAGCGCCGAACTCACCTGCCACAACGTTAAGACAATATTAGGAAATAAATTCTAAACAGATATAGGGAACAAGATATAAGATATCTATGCACTTGTTCACGAAACATTACCAAGTTTTCCGTACGCAGTTTGCTCTATTGTTACATTGGAATCATCGGGAGTGTATCCAGCCTTTAATAAAGCACCGAGGCAGGCATTGTTAACAATATTTATCGCTAATCTCCTGAACTCATCTAACTTATTTCTAATTAGTTCTAGCTTTGTAAACTGTAAGAAAATGTTACATGAAAGATGTTGACATTTACTGTGAATATAAATCAGGATGGATCCTGTTAATATTATCTGTAATAAAATACCATCCCAATGTACATAATTCTTTTCCTTTTTTAATTGCAACAGATATTTACTTGTTTTTCTACGAAATAGAAAAGCAAAATCTTCTCAAAAATCGTGTTATCGAAGAGGCTCGAGTCAAGAAAAATCGAGCACATGGACTTAATTTCTAGCAACGCTTTGCTGAGGATCGAGTCCGATATAAACAGATTCTCCGTTAAATAATGTTTTGCCATGACGAATTTTTTATAACTAACTATCTTCTTCCAAACGTAGAAATTCTTCCACATTCGAAACACGATGAACGTCCTTATCTGAAAAAAAGTATATCGAGCTGTAAACATGCAGAATAAATAAAAAAAATTTCAAAAGGCAATGTACCTTTAGCAATTTTAGGTAAAAAATATATTCCCTCTCCCACTGTTCAATGGGAGTGAAGCTCATTTCGTCTGGATTGTGCTGTGTTACACCACTGGCACTGATAGTCATGTAAACTTTGCCTACATCTTTATACTGAACAACCCTGAAAACAACATCATTGACAATTATGCATTATGCGTCTTTCAAAATCTTCAGGGACGTAGAGAAGTTATTTACTTTAAAGCATAAGGAGTAAAATACTTCGAGGATCGATCCACAGCGTAAATCATGTAAAAGAATCCTATTTTAGGATCTTCTCGTAATTGTCGAATTATCTCCAACTGATCGATAAACCGAGGAGCATCGAAATCCATTTCCCTCTTGTATTTTCGAAAGTCCCGCGAAATTCTTCCCCTTGATCCAACACCTGTTTCACGTGTTAAACGAATGATTAATAAAAATGTTTCATTCCCGATACAAAGTTAAAGGAAAAGTGACAAAAATCGCGATGCGACTTATAAGTGTTTCAGAAGTGGCGTCCTTTGTCAATATCTTCTCTTCTACCCTCGTTAACGAAACACTTGGCTTGCACACCTGTTTCCTAATTTTCTCTTGTTGAGCGCTAAAACCGGTCTACAGAAATATTGCTCTTAAATGCCTGTCGATAAATATTAATTAAAAAAAGAATTATATAAATTCTTACCAGTGGCTCCCGAATTTCCGGTTTATATTCGATCTTTTCGAGCAATTTCTTGTGTGGTATAAAAAACGGTATTTCATCTTTCCCTCTGTATCAACATTTTTAAATATATATATATATAAATT